CAGAATAGAGGGGAGCTCTGGTAGCATAGTGGCTAAGGCACTTGACTGCTAACCAGAAGGCTGGTGGTTCAAACCCACCAGCCACTCCTCAGAAGGAAGATGGAGCAATCTACTTCCGTAGTGATACTGCCTCGGAAACCCAAGGAGGGGTCGCTATGAGTCGGGTCTGACTCAATGGCACATAACAACAACAAAAAAACAATCAGAATAGAGACAAACAGCCAAGGGAGGGCTCACCTCTGATTTGCTAAATGGGTTAGTTGAGCTGTGTTTTTCGTTGCTTAGCCACTGTGGAAGTGGAAGGAGACTTTATGAAGAGCAGTAGTGAAAGAATTCTAAATAGAAACCAAATTTCTGACAAATGTCTTGAGCCAGCTAAAGGTATTTGGAATCTCCTTCTCTTCTGAGATAATGCATTGGTTACTTTATGGAGAGGAAGTTGCCTTCAGGGCACATTTTCCTGGCTTCAAAAAGTCTGCTTTTCTTTTTTCCAGTAACAGAAGAAAACTCTTACTAAAAAAGAGAGTAGAACTAGATGTACATTCCATGAGGGCAGGAACCACGTCTCCTCTTTACCTTTGAATCCCTAGCACTTGCACAGTGACTGGTACATAGCAGATATGTAGTAAGTTTAAGCTTCTTCGACAGAAGAACTGCATGTAGAGTTCTTGGGACTTGATCATGGGCCTCTAGATAGTATATAAGGTCATTACTAAATTCTGCTAAAGGCAAATGGAGCTTTAATCAAGGGATTGGGAACCGTGATATTTACTCAGCATCTACATCTTAATTAGAAAGATGAGAAGAAATCTTTAAAAAAATATCTTCAATGCCAGGGGACAAACCTGAGGGTTTAAAGTTCCTTTTAAGCTTCAAGATTCTAGGTTAAGAAACTAAACAAAATTTTAAGAGTAAGCACATAAAGAAAAACCCAATACCCATCCTGTTTTGAGGTTTATTTCATATTCCTCTGTTAAGAAGATTAACAAAATCTAATAACCTAATTTAATTCATCAAGCTAATTTGAAATGGCAGTTTGTACTTAATAACCTAATACTAGAATTGGTAGCAATTTCAATGTTTTGCCAGACTCGAACTTGCATGGAATAGATGACTGAAATAACACAATGATTTAGATGCATTTGATTAACAAACTAAAGTTCTCATTGAAAATGGCACTACTGAAGTCCACTCTAACTGTCCAAACAAACAACATTTTGGATTTTAAAACCTGGCAGAATTAACACCTGAGAGAATTATTCCAAGAAAGTCTACTTACTATCTAAATGTAGAATTTCTATTACAAATTTCAACTGAACTGGATCCAGTAATCCCAGGACTGAAGTGAATCCATATTCCTAATACATAAGAACTCAATCTGTTCAAAGCTCATCTATCAAAGAATATTAAACCTTCCCTTGTAACTAATTTAAATGCTTAACTACATTACAAACTGTTCAAAACACCACTTAGCGTAACAGCCTCTCTCTTCAGCATCATCCAGTATCAGGAAACACTCCTTCTTAAGCTTACACTGCAGCTCTGCCTTTAATTTCTCTTCACCAAGATCTTACATCATGCCACTGCATGCAATGTTTACCCTCAGGGAAGCCACGTTATATAAAGTTCCACTGTCTAGACACGCAGCTCACCCAAACCATCAGAGGGAAAGGTTTCAAAAGTATGTAAATACTAAATTCAAGACAAAAGAATAAAGCAAAGTCAATAACTAGAATTAAAATAGACTTCATATGTGACACTAATGAGCTACAACGTCATCAAAAGAAATAGATTAGAACTTGAGGCAGTCAGTATCTGGATTTTTAGAAATCTATCTCTATGAAATTCTTAAATAACAAAATAATCTATGAACTATATTCTATGTAGCCATTAAAAGAATGATTTATCTACTGACATGGGAAGATAACCATGATAAATTATAAAACAGCATTTATATTTTTTATCTCAATTTTATAATTTGGCTGTCTCTCTTTTTTTCTCTCTCTCCTATACACAAACACAAAATAAGACTGGAAGGATATTACCCAAATTGCTAAGAATAGCTTTTTCAGTGTGCAGAATACAGAATAATTTTTACTTTCTTTGTATCTTTTATTTGGAAGGAAGGTTGGGCAATCTACTTCCGTAGTGATACCGCCTCGGAAACCCAAGGAGGGGTCACTATGAGTTCAATCCGACTCAACAGCAGTGAGTTTGGTTTGGTTTATATCTTTTATATGCTTTTTATAAAAAAATTCTTTTACATCTTTCTGTACTATTTGAGTAAAAAAAATAAGTAATATCTTTAGAAAAAATAAACGTATTTTCATTTTGGAAAAAAAAAATCAACATATTAAAAAAACCTCACAAAACAACAACAAAAAAATTAAAAAAAAAAAAAAAAAACTTTGCAAAGTACTCAGAAAGACTTCCTTGTACCTTAGCAGCACCTCAGCTCAAGCTAAGAATATCAGTTGAACTTAATTCTTAATTTCCCAGCCTATTTTTTATTAGGTGGGTCTCTGAAAACCATTTTCATCACTTTAACAGCTACAGTTTTCCTGGGTGCTAAAGTTAATGTTTGAGACCTACAGGTATTTGGAACGAAGAGCTTCCCTGAAGGAAAAGATTGGTTTCATTCTCTCTTCAATACTAAAGCAAAATGAGGGGTTTGTTGCCTCTACTTGTAGTTGGATCTTAGAAAAAATAAAGGCAGGACTTTCAGTTGACTATCAAACTTTTAACCTTATGCACAAGCCCCAAGATCAGAGTTTTAGCATTCCAAATTTAACTCATAACAAAAGGCTTTGCTTTGAGTCTAACAAATGGTCCTTTCACTTATAAAAGTGCTAATCTGCCCAAAGTCATACAATGTATTCACTGATTTTCTTGAAGATGACTCACTCAATAATCTGAAACATAATGACTATGTGTTTGTAACAATTCAAAACAACTGTAAAATGGCTTGTCATCTGAACTCTGAATTAATTTGGAGGCGTCAGTTACATTTTCTGAATTTATATTTTCTAAATGCAAAGCAGCTGAAGCTGCATATTTTACTAGGGAAAGAAAAGACTTAATTGCCAGCTCTGCCTTCCTAACTGCTTCCTTTAATGCTCTTTCAAGTCTCTCCCGGTTAAAACTATTTTAAAATTTATAGGTACAATCCAAACTCCAAGAGTTTATCAGTGAGAAAAATACACAGTGAGAGAGGATAGACCTCAACTGAAGCTGTACTAAAACACACAATTTTTCTCAACAAATATCAATTGGGAACCTAGTGTGTGCAAGTGACTGTTATTGTAGAGCAGCTGTTCTAAAGATGTGACTCCTGGACTGGCTGCATCAGCATCACTTGGGAACTTGTTAAATAAGCAAATTCTTGCCTCTCCATCCCCTCCTCCCACCTACAAAATCACACTCTTTGGGCAGGGCCCAGCAATCACTGCTGTAAAAAGCCCCCAGGTAATTCTGATGTACTCTAAAGTTTGAGTACTCTTGAATAGCTTTAGAATATTGAATTGTTAAAGATAGAAACATATCAAAAAATATATGTAAGAGCATAGTGGCTAAGACACTTGCCTGCTAACCAGACGGCTGGCGGTTCAAACCCACCAGCCACTCCTCGGAAGGAAGGTTGGGCAATCCTAC